AAAGAGTGTAAAGCTCTTTGGCATTGCTGTTTGTTGGTTGGGATTTGGGCTTAATGATGGAATAAAATGGCTCAATATTCATGAGTCAAACCATGTTCCCTCTTGATGGAATTGGTTAGTGGTTACATGTAGGCCGCTGCAACTGTGCTTGATTCTGGATCATAGATTCAAGAAACTACATTTACTCTATCCTTCTTAATTAATAGTAGCCTCCCACCATTTCATTTTGCATTTCCCTCTACCTATCCATAGAGGGTGACAACTTGATACTATATGTTCTTGCCTTAACATGTCTGCTGATTTTCCATTGCCTTAAACATATCCATGTTCATTTTTGAATATATGCTACACTTAAATTACTGGTAGATATACCATGAGGGGCTTTATTATAGGCTTCCTCAAAATCTATACTGTGAAAAGATCTTGGTTTCTACCATGATATACTCTGACTCTGAGTATTCCCTGCTGAAGGATAACGACTTAAGTTGTCAATCTTCTAGGCAGAATCCAAACTGAGTTTTGACTCACTAGTCTTCTTTCTTATCTGCTCCATCACTTGCTTCTGTAGCTTCATGGTGTGACATCAACTTGAATTCTCATTGGTTAACATTTTTTTTATATTTCTTTTGTTCATAAAGACCTAGAAGTTTCCTTTCCTTCATTCCTCAAGTAGTATTTATTTATTTTCTTTAGATTTGATAAGTGAGGATAACAAGCTAAGCTATTCCCTCTTATTTACAAAGTCTTTGATGTTTTTTGAGCAACTTAGGTCTCCATATATATGACATCTGATACTAAGCTGAAAACTTTACCAGTATAGTTCCTTTATATTCTCTTTAATTCCGTCATCTTTGTCAAAAACCGTATTTGTTTACTCTGATACACTTGATTTGTGTTAGCTCCTTTGTTCTTTCTCATTTGTGTCTTAGCCAATTCTTTCTCTTACTGTATACACACGGACACCACGGCTTTAGATCTGCTCATTTTCTTAACATTATGCTATCTTATTCCAGATGCCTCAAAAAATGGTGTTGCACAAGAGGCAATGCAAAATACTATCCGCAGAGCCAGTAAGGTGATGACAGAGCAAGAGGCTCGACAGATTCTTGGTGTTACAGAAGAAACTCCATGGGAGGAGATTATCAAGGTTAGTGTATCATCTGTGTATGGGTATATTATTACCTTTTTTTTTTTTTTTAATATAGCACTTGCTAGGAATGCATTTTAGAGAATAGAGTTATATATCTAGGGCTTCAATATGTTTTTAATTATTGTAAAATAAGCAAGTTTTTTTTTTTATTTCAGTTCATATATATAGATAGATAGATACGTTTACTCCATGAGTAAGTATACTTAGACTTAGTTCATTCAATAATTTATGTTCTATATCAAATTTCAACGGTTTTCAAATTTTTTAAAAATTTCCAAATTTGATCTATGCATTAAGACTTTATTTCATTCAATAATTTATGTTCTATATCAAATTTCAACGGTTTTCAAATTTTTTAAAAATTTTCAGATTTGATCTATGCATTAAGACTTTACTCCATTCAATAATTTATGTTCTATATCAAATTTCAACGGTTTTCAAATTTTTTAAAAATTTTCAAATTTGATCTATGCATTAAGACTTTAAATTTGATGTGTAACATGAGTTATTGAACGGAGTAAGTCTTGGTAAACTTACTCTTTGAGTAAACAGATCCCTTCTCAAACGAAATATCAAATGGTTTTTTTAAATTTTTAAAAATTTGCATATTTGATCTATGCATTAATAGTGTGTTTGGATGAAGAATTTTACAAATTCAAGGAATTTTAAACTCTTAGTATTTGAATTACTTTGATTTCAATTTCTATCATTCTTAAAATGTTTTGTTTGGATGAGTCAATTCAAATTTCTTAAATTTTAAATTATTAGTTTAAATATGATAATTTGATTCCATCATAGTAAAATTGATTTTAAAAATATATTTATATGTTGAGATTTTTAAATTAAATTTTATAAAAATAAATATTAATCCATTTTTAAATATTTAATAATTTTAAAAGTTAATATTAGATAATATTTAATAATTTTAAAAATTAATATAAAATAATATTTAATAATTTTAAAAATATTTTTGAATATCCAATAATTAAAAGAATGAAGAGATAAGATAAAATATATAGGTGAAATAAGAAAAATAAATATGAGAAATTTCAAATTCTCCTACTTTTGGGAGAATTTGAAATTATACTATTTTAAGGAATTTCACAAATGCTTGGATTTTAAATTCTTTGTAAATTCCTCATCCAAACAAAGCATTTCACCTCAAGGAAATTGAAATTCTTCAAATAAATGAATTATCCTATATAAATTCCTCATCCAAACATACTTTAAGAGTTTTAAATTCAACCGTTGGAGCGTTGATATTTGATGTAAAACATGAGTTATTGAGTAGAGTAAGTCTACCTAGACTTACTCCTGGAATAAACAAATCCTTTCTCTCTCTAGATATATATATAGACTTGTCAAAACTAATTATACGAGTATAACTTTTATTAAGTATTACACCGTTTAATAACTTTATATAAAATGTGAATTTTGTAAATTCAACCGTTGAATTATAATTTCATATCATTTTATATGTTTATATCAAATTTTGTTAAAATTGAACAATTTGAAGGCAATCAAAGTGTTCATATTTTATTATATTTTGAAATATATATATTACGTCAATTTTGTTTTATAAGAATGAAGTATAAAATCATCTTGGATTAATATTAAATTTTGTATGTATGATCTAAGAGTAAAATTCTTTTTATCTAATGGTTGAATTTATAAAATTTACATTTAATATATAATTATTGAGCAGTGTAATACTTCGTAAAAATTAAACCGGTGTCGTTTGAACCCTCCTTTTATATATATATATATATATATATATATATTCTGTTTTTATGCCTCAAATTTGAAGTTGCTTATTCTTGTCCTTATAAAAATAAAATGAACAAATTTTGATTTTGATTCTTATAAAATATTAATCCTTTATTTTCATCTCCGTAAAATCTGAAATTACTATTTTTTATTCCTAACTTTTATTTTGAGGTAGATAAATAGTATTTATTTTTGTATTTAAAAAAGTTATTAGAAGCATCACACACTAACATGATAATATACACAAAACGTTATCCAGTGTCATGTAATTATAGAGGCTAAAAATAATAATTTCAGATTTTAGAGAGATGAAAATCAAATTAAAATTAAAATTTGTTCATTTTACAAGATTAAATTCCTATTTAATTCTATATTTAACCATTGATTAGAAAATCAGATGCTAATGTTTGATAAAATTCAAGCTTGTGCGTATTATATATTATGATGTTAATATATAATATATCTCTTGTTCTAATAATTGCTTAAAAATATCTCTTGCCATGCATGCAGAAATATGACACTTTGTTTGAGAATAACGCCAAGAATGGGAGTTTCTATCTCCAGTCCAAAGTTCAACGTGCCAAGGAATGTCTAGAGGCTGTTAATCAAGGCAAGAGTGAGGGTACGCCACCCAGTTGAGAAAACCTTATATTTTCACCATTTTATAACCCTTTGTAATCATTTTGGCCTCCCAATGTACACGATCTGTGTTATCAAAAGTTTGTCAACTAAAAATTTCATTACTATAAAAAAGTTGTACATGATTAGTTTGAGATTGACTAAAAATAAAGTCTACCTATAGTACTGAGTTACGGTATTATTTTTGACGTGATCAAAATTAGAATGGTAGGCAATATTGATAGTAATGTGGTAAAAAAACACAGTTGCACGTTTCTTTACGTGATTGGCCTCAGAATTTTGGTATCTTTCATTTTCATGTTCATTATTGCCAACATGCTTACTCTAGAAGTTGTTTTCACCTTCGTCGTCTTCTGGAAATGCAATTACACTAACCCATTTGTATTGTTTTCATCATGTTTGTCGTATTTTGGTGATGATATCCTTGTAAGTATGGTGGTGTGTAAAAAGGCTTCATTTTGTGTGGTACAAATGCTCTCTTTGAATTGAATTATCAGAGTTCTATTATAGGAAAAAATTGTCTTTATATATATAATAATGAAATTGTTCAAATTTATCTCATTAATGTCTAATTGATGATTATAAATTCATATTTTTACTTTAAAATATATTATTTTCTTACTATAGGTGAGTCTTCTAGTATTTAAAGGTACAAATGCAACACCAAGCACAGGACATTTATAATATAAAATTTTGGAGTAATCGGGTAATTTATTATAAGAAAAAAGGAACTATCGGGTGATCGTCATTTTAAACTTCAAAAGATTAATTTTTTTAATGTTGAATTAATATAATTATCGATTTGTAGTTTTAAAAATTATTGTTAATTTCATTTAATTTTTAATTTTCTTTAAATCAGGGACTAATAGTCTTCCTATTTTAGAAGCTAAAATCACTTTTTTTTACATAAGAAAATAACTGTTTATTCTCATGAAAATTGATTGAATCCTAAATTTTGTATTTACAGTTGATACATACATCGTCCAGAAAATCACTGTCGTGTGACAGAAACCATAAAACAAACAAATCCTATATCATTTTCAAATTATGATACCATTGAACGCTAATGTTATCGTCTCACATCCACGGATAGAAAATCACATGATGCACGTCCATGCTTATCTCGTCAGTTTCTGACATTTTTTTCATTGGAAGTAATTGTCAAAGAGTTATCAACATATTTACCAACAAGTTGTTGTTGGTCTGAATAGTAGTGGAGTCAATCCCCTTCAATAGGATTTTAAATTTAAGTCTTGTAATTAAAAAAATATATTCTATTAAAGATAATTAATAAGTTCTTGATGGAGAATAGTAGTAAATACTTAATATTAATAATATAGTTATAAAAAATTAAGGAAAAAAATCAGCCAAGATTTATGAATTATGATGATATCACATTAATGTCTCATTCAAGAGAACCTATGTGGCATATACCAACATAGCAAATGGTCAATTGTTCCATACCAAAAATGGTAGGTAAGCTACCAATCACCCTTTCAACCCTCATCCCCAAACTCAAAAAGCAAAGTGACTCTTCCACTTCACAGTTGAAACTTTTCCTACACATTACTTTTCATGTATTATTGGTAACATGTAAACAAAGTAGTGGATTCTAGGATTTGTATATAATTTATCCACATAAAAAACAATTGAAACAAGTGAGAGGAGTGTTTATATGCGAGGGAGTAATCTAGATCATACAAACATATGATTAAGAATAAATAATGATGTGACTTTTTTTTCATTAGTAAAAAATTACATTCACGATGTAAATAATGATCATTGAACTCAATCTTTTTTATATATATTTCAACTCTCCACAATTAACCTAATTTTAGTGATTTAATCATGTGACTTTTTAAGTAGCCATGTGATCATTAAGTAACTCTTAATCAAAATCATAATGTATGGTTATATGTTAAGGATATACTCTTTTTAAATATTCTTTTTACCTTTTTATTATATTTTATTGATTTATTTAAAAAATATTTTTCTAAAAAAAAATAAAAACAAAATTGTGGAGTGAGTAGTTGATTAAGTAAATTGTGTAGTTTTTATTTTTTATTTAATGAAACATATATGGTGAGAAAAATATATATATATATATAGAGAGAGAGCGAGGGATTATAATTACATCGATGTAACTTTTACTAAGTATTACACCGCTCAATAATTTTATATTAAATATGAATTTTAAAAATTCAACCTTTAGATTGAAAGTTCTTTACTTTTAAATTATATATACAAAATTTCATATTAATCCAAGATGATTTGTTACATCATTCTTATAAGACAAAATTGGTATAATATATTCATTTCAAAATATACTAAAATATGAACATTTAGATTATCTTTAAGTTGTTGTTTATTTTTAACAAAATTTGATATACATATATAAAATAATATGAACTTTCAATCTAACGGTTGGATTTGATACAACAACTTGAAGGTAATTAAAGTGTTCATATTTTTGTATATTTTGAAATGAATATATTACGTCAAAATTTTTTTTTTTATAAGAATGAAGTATCAAATTATCTTGGATTAATATAAAATTTTGTATATATGATCTAAGAGATATGAACTTTCAATCTAATGGTTGGATTTATAAAATTCATATTTTTTTTATTCATTAATATAAGAAAGGTACAAAAACGAGTAAAAAAATCAAAATTATATTTTTTAAAGTTAAGAAGGCCAGGTGATTGAGATTTTGTTTTTTTCTAATATATATATATATATATAACTTAATATGCTCCGAAACGCAAATAATTGCATATAATTGTACACCTAATTCACTTTCTACATTAAGAAATAATATTAGAAGTAATTAGTCTAAAAATATTTGGAAAAATTGACTGTCATTAGACAATTGCTCAAATGGATGGACTAAATACAAAAGGAAAAATTCCATGACATTATTTTTGGAGTTTTTTTTTTCTTTATTCTTAACGAAACTAATTATGATTATATTCTCCATTCACAATTTTGGATATGTCTTTTCTAAGTTATCTCACTTAGAGGTAATAAGTAACAAATTATGTGCATATTTATAACAAATTATGAATGTAATGAAATTTTAATTATTGATTTGGGGTGAACTTGCTCGTATGCTCAAACAAAATAAAAACTAAAATTATTAAAAAAAAAAACATTTTCGGATGTGTTTGGACAAGGTTTTAAAAAAAATGTTCTTATAATTTTTTAGAAATTACTCTTTCTAATTTTGGAGAAAAATATTACAATAATGCTCTCTTTGAAATTTTCTATTTAAAATGAAATAAAAAACTTGTCTGGTTATCATAATTTATTTTAAAATCTACTGTAATTTTTTTAAAAAAAATACTTATTTAAAAAGGTAAATTTAAATATTTGAAAACATCTAAACTTTATAGAAACAATTATATTTATACATTATAATTGTTATTATACGGTCCTATAGATTTTATTTTATAAATTTGTCAAGTTAATTTAAGTTTATAAAATTTAGTATCATGTAAATATAAAAAGAAAAATATTTATTTTAAAACCTCATAACCCTTGGTAGATTATAATATTTTAGTTTTCTCATACTTTTGACATTTTGAATGAAAATAGTTCAACAAGTTTGTGTATTAAATTAAAATCAAATTGATGTCATGTCACACCAATGAGTCTTGGTTATCAAACATTCCATAACTAATTATAAAAGGTTTTGAGTTCAATTTATAATGTGGACTTTCATTCTTAGGTCTTTTAATTAATTATAAAGATGTTAAAAACAGATGAAATTGTTTAGCTCCTAAGTTGATATTTCAACTCACCTTACTCATTATATTCAACTGTATTATTAAATACCAATGTAAATTCTTGGTAAAGCATTTCAAATATATTATAGTAACACACAGTTTTAGATTAAAATTTTTGTCATTATAATTTTGATGAATTCAAAGAAATAAAGTTATCATAATAATACAATGCGATATAATTGATGAATAATTTTATTTATTAAATATGTAATTTTTCTAGAACAGTTAAGTATGTAATTAAAAATTTAATATTTGAATTCATGTGTATTAAAAATATTTATCAAAAGATATCATTATCTTAAATAAATTTCAATATCTTAAATTTTTTTATACATAAAAAAAAAAAAAAAACAGAGAAACAAACTAGTTCCTAACATGGACAACAACCATTATATAAGCAGATATAAGGAGAGTTAGAACAAACTAGTTCCTATCACCATGGTTGGCCTGTATTTAGCAAGTAAATATCTTAAATGAATGATGTTAACTTTTGGCTAAAAAAATGTCCTATATTTATATAAAATTATAAGATTATTGTAAGATATTAATTAAAGAATTATAAATAAAATACTTTTATGAAAAGAGAGATATCAACGATAGTCTATTTAAAATTATTTTTTAACAATTTTTTTATTATTTACTAAAATTTATTAAAAACTGTAAATTTTATAAATTTTGCATTTTACTTAGTGTTTTTTTCTTCTTCATAATTTAGTAATAAAACTTATCAAAATTTATGATCATTAATCAATAATAGAGAGTATTAATTAAGAAATATTAAAGAGAATGTTGTTAATATTTTAATGTGATAAATGTAAAATTTACTAATATTATTATATTAATATACCGATCGTTAATAGTTGGACTGAATAGGATTAAATTTAATTATTTTATATAAGGTATTAGATTCGAATAATGTGACTAAAAAAATACAGTTAAGAGAAATAATTATTATAGGTGATTCACGAATAAAATGGTTAAAAATAATTACTTTTATACTTTTAATAAAAAAATATTTATTAATTCTTTAATTAATGTCTTTTGAACAATTGTTAATGAAATCTTAGTTTTATATTCGTGACGTTAGGTATAGGCGTATAACATATACCCCACGTGTCGAATTGATGTCTTGGACTCTAAGATGCACACGTGCCACGTCTTTATTTCTATTCGTGCGAATCTCGATATTGATGACGCATTTTTTTTTAATATATTTTCCCATCTTTAATATATATATATAT